CGAAAGCTTGCATACGAATGCGTCTATGCAGTCTAAATTGAATTGCGTGTTACCTCGTGACACGAACAAAAACTAATCGAATACCCCCGAAGTGGGGCCGGTTAGTTGGCGGTATCGTGTTGGTAGAATTTCGGTGCTTCCAAAATGGGCAAGGAGCTGAGTTGAGTTGAGTTGAATTAGAGTTGATACGGATATGCGACAAGGAGTGGTGACCTTTCTGTTCTGCTTCTGAGCTACCACAATCAACTAAAAAAGACAGCTTGGAGGTTGCCAACGGGCAGATTGCAGGATCTGCTTTTTCCTTCACTTTATGTGCAAATTGTCAATGATACGCACTCCGGGTTAATTATTCTGGTTCGCGTGGGCCGGCAAATCGGAGCATAATAGGTATGACTAGGTGGAAGTCTAACTTCAAATCAGGTGTCGATCGCAAGCCAACCTCAAGTTGTATTGACATCGTCTTACCACCGACACATTAGGGGTGTGGTGTGTCAGTGATACGAGATCCGGGTTAATCATTTTGGGTTGCGTGGGCTGACAGATCAGAGTATAATAGGCATGAATGAGTGAAAGTCTAACTTCAAATCAGATGTCAATCACAAGGCACCCGTAAGTTGTATTGACATTGTCTTAGCAATGACACATTTTGGGTGTGGGAAGAGAGAGCAGAGAAGAAGGACAACGAAAGAGGTTGAGAGATAGAGAGTGAAGGGTAGACACTGCCTCACAGCAGTCCAAACCATGCGTAAACCATTCTTGTCCTCCCCTCCCCCCGAAGATGTACCGGTCCTCGATGAGTCCAACTATCGGGACCATCGTTGTATCAGTAATTATTAGTACTAATAACCAATGCGAACTCGCTAGGTCCGTTTTTAAATGAGGCGGGCTGATGTACGCCTGCGTTTAATACCACTGGGTACGGTTTGTAGGTATGTGGTTTGAAGCGGCGACTAGCCACATTACAAGCGTATAGGTATCCTTACTCTTTAAACTCCCTCCAGCATTGAAAATTCAACATTTGATTAGTCCCAGTCAATTCCATCAGGGGAACGGGTAACCTGCGCATCTATTTGGTTAGAAGTGTTTATGGCAAAATGTCAGATGAAATGGGCGACAAAGTCAAATGTTAATCGTTCTTCCAAAGTAATCGTCTTTGCCATCCCTAAAATGTCTCAATTATAGGCGGAACGATCAGGACAATGATGGTTCCCGTATTTAATGTGATCCTTCTTGTAGAGCTGGTAGAAGGGGGAGAGCGGGCACACAAACGATCCCTATGGACCCATGTTCAAGTTCCTGGTCTTGTGACTAGGCCCTGAGCGTGGCCGGCTAACGACGATAACGTAACCCAAGACTCAGTTGACCCAATTGTGAAAAATTCACGGCCTCGGTGGGAGTCG